GAGCATGTTTGGTAGGACGGGGATTCGAACCCACGACCCTCCGATTGCGAGTCGAGCGCCTTATCCACCTGGCCATACCGGGCATATTAATATGTATTGTAAACATCTGTATGTTTGTTATTTCTATTCTCCTTTAAAAATTACTCTCAATAATTATTATATCGTGAATTATCAAAATATTTTAGATTCGATGATAGCAATGCCACATTGGGATATATGAAATCGAACCCCGGATTTTAGCGTTGTGAGTCCGTAACTTTCCCGCTGCTGTTTAAAGTTTCTAAAATAGTTAAATAACAATTTCAACTTACAGTGTAGCTTATACTTTGTTTTGTACAGCAATTAACAATTCTAAGATGTATCGAATTTCGTGAGTTCAGATGAAATAATGTTTACCCAATATATATATGATATTTATGTTAACTAAGCTTTCTTACACGATCCGAGTGGCCATTGAGACCAGCTAGAATTACAATAGTATGGAAGTTATCGGATTTATTAGTATAACTCTGAACATTTTTGATGTTTTTAAATAAAGCTGCAGACAAGCGTTATTCCCTTCTAGCCGAAGAAGCAGCACGAGATAAATACAAACACAAACCACAAAGAAACTAAATCATTCAGCCAACCAACCCTATTCTGCCCGTAAAAGTTTTTCTAAACCCGTTGCAAGTCATTCACACTTTTTCCAGGTGTTTGCATGAAGAGAGGGGGGGGGGAGGTATGGTAAACGGCTGATGCATCTACTGGCCGTGACATATATTAGAATCGTACCGCTTCCAATAACTCAGATAACTAGGTCAATGTTACGCTAGCAAATTTTAGGTACAATGTTCTAATTTTTATATTTGACAAATTCCCTCCAATGATCGTTTATATATATATTGTAATCCTATTTGATAGGCGTACACTATGTTGTCTGAGTTATCGCCTGTAGGCTGAATAAGCAGGCTTAATAAAACTAAAAGTTGAAAAACGAGGAGATGATGAGTTTTCTGAAAGATTTTTAAGCCTTGAGGGAAGAAAAAAGAACGAAGACAATGTAACATATAGGAGGTAGTTAAAACACAGGATTTAAATAGAACAGTCCTGTACTTTGATCTTGAGCACATCCTTATAAAAGCACAGTGAGAGAGCCAGAAAACTGTCAGATTCCAGTTGATTTCTTCTGTTCATAACCGAAATAAGATTGGTGTTGAAGATGAAACCCCGGGTACGTCCTGTTTTTAGTTTGCTGATTTACAGTAAAATCTTGACTTTTAAGTCTGTGATATTTTGATGTATTTAAAAAAGATAAAAAAGCACTTCTAAAATAGAGACGTTAACAGCTAATTTATACCTAATTTGTTTCTCACTTATTCGTAATGTACCGAAGATTATTTTCGTGCTTAAAATGTTTTACTGTCATTTACCTGAATTCTCCACATCGTTAATAATCTATTTAATACTCGCAAGTATTGATATTGGTTTTAATTTCTTGATCGTCAGAGTCTCATTTATTCTGATATCTCGTTCATACATATGTCAAAGTTCTTTTCACCAACAACGTAGATATTTGAATAATTCCCGTCGCTAGGCTTCAAATGTTCTTTTTAACGCTGCTCTCAGCAACGTGTGGTTCACCTCGCATAATCTCGTCCATATCGAGAATAATCACATTGATAACTAGTGATCAAGAAATTAAAACCAATATTGAACTCCATTTCTTCAACGATACAAATTCTTCTAAAAATTGCGAGTATCACTAAAACAGTGTGTTTTCTGCTAATTTTACGCAAGTGACGTAACATTTTTTTATATCTAATGATAATCTTTAAATAATTTGTACGAAATCCCTGCCAGGAAGGTACTAAATTATTCGAGTAGTACTTTCAGCTAAGACAGTATCTTTAAGGCATAAATAGAAATAAAATAAATAGTGATGATATATATTTTTTTTATGTTTATCGATATAATAAAGCTTATACATTGTTCTATCCCCACAGCAAGCCATAAAAGTCCTTATCCTACTAGGAGCAGTTTGTATAGTATTAGGAAGTGGATATGGAGGATACGGCGGAGGTAAAGGAGGATATGGCGGTTATGGCGGAGGATACGGTGGTGGAAAGGGAGGTGGAGGATATGGCAGCTATGGCGGAGGATACGGTGGTGGAAAGGGAGGTGGAGGATATGGCAGCTATGGTGGAGGATACGGTGGTGGAAAGGGAGGTGGAGGATATGGCAGCTATGGTGGAGGATACGGTGGTGGAAAGAGAGGTGGAGGATATGGCGGCTATGGTGGAGGATACGGCGGTGGAAAGAGAGGTGGAGGATACGGTGGTGGGAAAGGAGGTGGAGGCTACGGCTACGGTGGGCTTTATGGTATCTTTTGCCACTATCCTTCGCATGCTACTATTAAGACCCACGGTGGTTATGGAGGAGGTTACGGGGGAGGTCATGGAGGGGGCTATGGAGGAGGTCGTGGAGGTGGCTATGGAGGAGGTTACGGGGGAGGTCGAGTGGAGGGGGCTAGTGGAGGAGGTCGTGGAGGAGGTTATGGAGGTGGCTATGGAGGAGGTCGTGGAGGTAGCTATGGAGGAGGTTATGGAATTACAATTCCTATTTTTACAGTACTTGGGTATAGCCAACATGGCGGTGGTTATGGAGGGGGTGGTTACCACTAAGATATTCACTATTGCTCTTAGTAACAATATTTGTATTATAGTAATGTGAAATCTATATGTAACTTATCTGTCATGTGTATTCTGTGAAACGATAGTAACCCTAACCTATGTATATATTTGTGTGTAATGTACACTTCTATACACTCGTAACTCCCTGGCTGGGCTAGGTTGTTGTATAATAAAAAAAAGTTAAACGAAATATTATTTTGTTATATAGAGCCAAATGCTTAACACAAGTCACTTGTGTTGATGCAGTATCCTGTTATTGTGTGAGGTGAAAATGTTTACGTTTGTTATAACCGTTTAAAGTGTTTATGCAGTGGATGTATGTATATAGATATATTCCGGGTATTACAGTATTTTTAAATAAAAGTTTATTTTACGTTGAATTACATATTTTTATCAGATTGTGTTGCGTTGTTACCACGTGCTTAAAACCTCAAGAAACGTTTAACCAGTTTTCATGGACTGGCGATTCAAATGTTTGGCGAAAACCAGAAAATATCACAATTACAAACATAGAGGAAGTTGGTTAACATGATATTCGGAGCTAAAAACTGTAAAAGTGTTTTGTTTACTAAAGAGGCTTCTTTGGGTAAGGTAACTGGTCAGATGTTGACCGCATAACCTTCTCGATTAATCTTTAATATATCTCCTGCATTAGGTGGTCAATGGAACAGACTTATAGAACGTGGTTGAAACTAAACACCAACTTCCCAGTTGCTCGGGTATCACGTGTGCAAATTGAACACCACGTTTAGCTGTGATTTTTTAAAGTCATACTTTGAGGTAAACATTACATAGGTTCTTAGATATTTAAACATAAGCTTTTTTTGTAGACGTTTCTAAAACGCTTCTATACTAACCATGCTTCACGAACTTGTTTCTAAAACGTTTCTGTATAGAATATGCTGTACGACCTTTCAAACATTTCAAACTCCATGCCACATTTCTCGTAGAAGTTCAAAAACTCGATTCAAGGTGAATTTAATGTACATTATTCTTTAACATGATTTACAAGATCGTGTCTAGAACATGTTTCAAGATAAACACCATTCCCATTTCTAAAACCCGTTCTAACAAAAATTGCAATATTACTGAAATAGCTAGTAAGATGGCTTTCCATAAAGAGCAGATATATCTAAGTAGTCTGATTAGGTTCAGTGTTACTACACTGTACCGTAAGAGACTAAATAGTCTGATTAGGTTCAGTGTTACTACACTGTGACAGATGAAATAGTCTGATTAGGTTCAGTGTTACTACACTGTGACAGATGAAATAGTCTGATTAGGTTCAGTGTTACTACACTGTGACAGATGA